TCATTTACTTTGTGAATTGGCGCGAATTTCCTATGAATTAACAAAAAAGGTAACTAAAAAAAGATAATAAGTTCTCGGTTTCTAGATTTATTGAGGAGAAAGATCAAGAAACAGGTAGATGGAGACAAAACCCCGATGCAAATGGAATAGCTTGTTTGTAAAAGGTGAAACAATTAAAGCACGAGTATATAAGATTATAAAAGAAGAAGCATTGGGCATTATAAAAGAAGAAGCAAGAATCAGGGATGAGATGATCGCAGCACGACGTTCCTTCATGCTTGTTGTGCGTTTAGGGTGGAACGTAATTTCTAAGAGCAAAAGAATTGATCTGAACAGATTAAAGGTTATGCCAAAATCTAAATGGGAAGATCTTATTAAAAATATAAAAGAAAAATACTCAGTCGATATTGATTATAAGCTTATTGAAAAAAGCTTAAAAGAAGTAGAAGATAATTTTTAGAGCAAAAATTTTAAAGTTTCAAACTTTGTATAAGATTGGTTAAAATTTTTTTCAGTCATTCTGGTCTTTATACAAAACAATATGTACTGTATTAATTCATTATTTATTCATTATTTACAGTCCGGTTTAAATTCAAAGGGAGACATGTTTGGTGATAGTTTAACTAGAAACTTAGATTGCACTTCCATAATTTTACATGCATTGCAATGTAATATTCCTGCTTATTTTGATTCTCAATTACCATTATGTAATTTGGAATATTGAACAGTTTTTAGTAATCACTCTACAGTAATTAATTTAAAATCTTTACAAGCTTCTTTTGCGTATTTTCTAAAAACTTATCTTACAGTATGACTATTACATGATTTCGGACCGCGAAATCATATAATGGTTTGGCTTTTGAACAATAATTTCTTGAAGGGTTAGTTTAAAATAGTGATACACTAATTAAATAACAATGATATTCTAATGCTACTTTTCTTCTAAAAATTAACGTTTGCGTGAGAGTGAAAACCTGAAAACCGATTGAATTATTTACTATGATTGGTTTGCAGGTTTTCACTCTCACGCACTTATATTTTAAATTTTTGTGCCGAAAACTTTTGTTAAATAACAAAGGCCAATTTCCTTCCTGCTTTGCGAATTTGAGTTTTTTGTGATTTCTTGTTTTTGCTTCGCATTTCTATGATTCACGCTGATCTTACAATTGGTTTGGATAAAATTACAGGACCGCAAAATTTTTGCATCATCATTATTTTACTCATCTTTGCCGCAAAACATTCATTTTTGATACTTCTGCACCTACTTTTTTGATACATCTAAACATACACTAAAATTTCTATACTTTTTAATAACTTTACTATAATTACATGCGATCTTATTGGTTAGTTTTTAGGGTATATTTAGATGGATCAAAAAAGTAGATGTAGGAGTATCAAAAATAGATGTTTCGCATCTCTGCCATGAAGTAGGCAGAGATAAAGTCATTTGATTAAGCGTTTTCGCATAAGGTCCTGAAACTGTGTTGGCTATCCAAATTTTTCGATTCATTGGGTTAGTCTGATGTCACGTATTTTAATATCATGATAAAAATATGAAGATACGTGTTACAATTATTACACGCTAAGTATGTAAACTTTAAAAAGACTATTATATTTTAATGGTTTGATTTTTTTAGGAAATTTGAAGTGTAATAGTAAAAAGTTAAACAATTAGAAAGTTAGTTTGTCAATTAAAATAATATTTATCTGGATTAAACTTTGTCAAATTTTGTAGAATATTTGTGTGACGCTTGGATGAATTTAGTAATAGTGATAGTAAATTTCTTAGTCGATTTCTATATTCAGTTGAATTTCCATTATAAATTATACGACATAATTATTAAAATATTTTACAATTTCATTAGCAGTTCCCCGATGACACCTAAGTCAAAGCAACGATGTTATCCTTTCAAAAAGGTAATTTTCGACAGATTTTAATACTTTGTAATTATTATGATTTCTAAAGTAGTCCTATGAATATTAAGTTGACTTATTAGTTTTCTCAAATCATTTTTGATTTTTTTTTGTTCAACTGTTTTACCAAATTCTTTTTTCAAAATTTCTGCTACTTCAATAAGCATATCAAGACACTCATAATTGATATTCCAATGAGTCTCTAGTGCTAAGAATAGGTTCTAGTGTGCACAACTTTTAGTGCATTTAGTGAATCATTCTAAATTTTGTTAAAATTTACATTTTGCAAATGAGTAAAATAATTAGAAATATAATTAAAAGTGTTGATTTATTTGAATTAACTTATTTTAATAAATTGTAAACTTTTATTCATTTAATTGCCTTAAACATAAAATATTTTACAGTATTTAGGCTTTATAATTATATCGTATTTTGCAATTAAATAACAAATTGACATGAATTATTTAATATGAGAAATTTAACAAGGTAAAATGAGTCTCAATGAATATGGTAAATAAATATTCCATTTTTTTTAATCGAATTGGTCTTCTATTAAACTTTTACTATGAGAAATTATAAATATTTATTACTGTTCATTAAAGTAAATT